TGTTTACCTTCCCTCTCCCTCTGCTTTCAACGCTGCCGTCCTCAAGGCCCCGTTTCCTCATGGTCAGCGCGCACCACCACGGCGGCTGTCTGCAAACTTTAACCTTTAATGGTGGACCACGCATCGGCGCTGGAAGAGAGGTTCTGCTGTGCTTTTAGTGTAACCTTGAGTTGTTGTTGTTGTTGTTGTTTTTTTATGTAAGTAAAAGTTTCAATGCCTTCAAAGAGAAAAGATTCAAGGAAAGCGTGTCTCAATGAGTGACATGTCAGTTTTTTGTTGGTAAAAGTCTGCGTTATATTCCTGATTAAATACTTTTCAATGAATTATTGTGTCAGTATTCTGAAAAACCCAAATTGTTTAGGCTTATTTCCCCCCAAACCTTTCCATTTTCATAATGTTTTGTTCATATTTGTGAGATGAAAGAATGTCTTTAAGCATTCAGTGTTGTTCATTAATGTGGCTTATTTTGCAACTTTGTGACATGGGTTATGGTTTACAAAAATATTGTTTCCGGAAATTGCTATAGTTTTTATTAACAAGTGGTGATTAATATTCTTGAAGACTTTTAGGAACCGCTTTGTTTCTTTTTCATTAAAAAACCTTCACATTATGCCAAGACACTTCCATGTTCTACCCACTTAATGAAATATTTAATTAACATACTTCGATTTATCGCAGTATTTGATAGTGAAATTGACACTTTTTCAGTAGAACAATACATCTACTCATGTATTCACTGCTTTAATCCACTCATTGTCAATAAATAGCAGCCATGAATGCAGCTAAGCAGCTTTGGACAGGACTTATTACCATTAGCCAGCTGTCAAGACACTTCCTCAGACACCCAGGGTGGGTTTGTATTCACGACCATCGCAGTATAAAGTGAAAACCGCAAACAGTAGGGGTTGAAGAAAGGAAGTAATGTGGTGGTTTAATATTTTGACTCTTCTGACTTGAATCCGTTCAACCATTTTTATGCCTTCGTTGAGCGTATCCCAGCAGTCATTGGGTTGAGAGGCAGGATCAAGTCACCATCACTCCATAAGACAATTACACACATACTCAATTACAACCAAGAGCTATTTGGAATGACCATTTTACCTTCTCAACTACGTGAAGGAAGAAGTCCAAGTACCTGCAGAAACCCTTGGATGCAAGATGGGATCGTCACAAATGTCCTGCATGAAGGAACAAGCCATCTGAGTCCTCGGATTGGCACGTCGCAATAAGAATACTTATATTTCAGCTACCTCTGAATGTGGTCTGGGGTTGGATTTGTTTTAATTCTGGTGTGATGACTTTCTGAAATTCATCTGGAACGTTGTGGGAAGGCCTAAAGCTGATTTTGGCTCTCCGAGCAAAAGCCTCTGGAGAGAAAAAAAAGAAGGTGCTCTCACTCACTTCCGACCGAGATTATTTTTACCTCTTAAAGACCTGGGGAGACTCTGCCAATAGCTTTGTTCCTCTTCCTTTACATAGTACCATTAATATGTACACATATAGACTCACTGGTGGGTAGAATGAATTGTCTTTCTTTTTTTCTTTTTATAATCTTGTCCTCTTCCACTCCTGCGACTTTTCTGCTTCTCCTTCTGACTCCATCTATTTCTGTCATATTACTTTGCCCTTGGCTTTTCATTTTTCCTCCCCAACATTGCTCTGTGTCTTGTCACTTTATTGATCAGGTTGTATTTCCGTTTATATTTTCCAAAGAAATATCCATTTGAACGTCTTAATTGTTTCCATTATATCTGCATTACATTAGCCCGGCCGCGTATAAATCTTTATTCCATCTCCAATACGTCTCTTTCTCTACTTTCCCACCTCCCAGTTTTTCTCAGCTGTGTTGGTTTTTTTTTTCTCCTCCTTTTTCTTCGTCTGCCATTTGCCTCACTCTCACTCCTCTCACTCTTCCTCTCCCGAATCAGTTTGTTTACCCCCCTGCATCTCCAGACTCTTGCTGACACCTCAGTTCTTTGGGCCACTGCAGTCGGGGAAGAGACGACTTTTAGCTCCTTTTCACTGTTTATTATCTGGCTGATCCGGCCACTTGTGCATGCAGCAGTCAGGCAATTTTTAATCACCACAAAATTGATTATTTTTCTCTAACGAGCACCCGGTGCGTAATATGGCTCAGCGATGGTAGGCGGAGGGGAACGTACCTCATTATGACAAGTACGGATTGGACAGTGACCTTGCTGAAGAGTTAGAAACTGTGAAATGTTAAACACTTTGCAACCGTTTGACTGTCAGGTGTGCCATTCGAGTGACCAAAACATGCCAGCCTTTTGATAAATAAGCTAGCCAGCTTATTTATCAATAAGCTGGCGCTGTTTGATTATAGGGACCACATAAATTTTGGACACACATCTTACCTGTTTTATGTGTCTGAGGAGTTAGTAATTATTGAGCACTGATGGTTTTTTTGGATGTTTTCTTGGAAAGGTGAGGCAGACCTTGCTGCTTTTTTGGACGGATGCCATTTTTATCCAATCTCTGTCTTACTATTAAATCATGAACTCTGACCTTAACTGAAGCAAGTGGTGAGTTTTTAGACAATTTTCTGGGTTCGTTGGTGTTGTCCTTGATGAGCCGTCGATGGTCTCCTGGAGTAATTTTGGTGGGCCATAATCTTTTGGGAAGGCGCACATATCCATGTTTTGTTCCACTGGCGGTAATGACTCTGAGTGTGGTTCACATAAAACTGGAAGTCATAGAAATGAAACCCTTTCCAGCTGCCTTTCTTTTGAGTGTTGGTTGTTGAGCTACTTTTGCTTCCTTCGTTTTCAGACGGGTTCTATAAGTTCAGCAGAAATGAGACTCTGATGTGATCTGAACAATTTGTCGCGGCAGGTGTGTTTACTTTGTCTGCATTGATTTAGGTTGACATGCGTATCTGTTTTCCCTTAATCGTTTAAAAACGACTTTTTGGATTTACTTTGACCAACTTTTTAAAAAAAGTTGTATTATTTCACTTAAGCTCTGTTTTTCAGTACATAGCAGCCAGTGCGATCCCTCTTGTGATTAATAAGCAGAAGGAGAGAAAACAGCAACCACATTAACTTGGTGAGTGTTAGAACTGGAAAGAAGCAGATTCTGCCTCTAATTTATGAAACATGGCCTGAAAAACCTTTAAGACTCGACAGCTTAGCGCCGTCTACTCTGCCTCTGTGTAGTCAGTTTTTTTAAACTTCCCACTCTTTTTTTTTTCCAACTACAACTATAACCAGCTGTATTTTAGTTGAAACATTTTGGAATAACAACCTTGTTTAGTCTTTTTTTTCCTTCTAAGTGCACTGCTTCAAGACTTCCTCACTTTGCTTTGATGAAACTTTAGCAAAGTTCAAAATGTAACATCTTAATGTGTAGCGAACGGTTCGGAAATGTCGAGCTCGCGGAGGCTTCCTGTGTTTCCTTTGATGTTTGCAGACATATTTGCACTCATGCAGAGTGAGATCCCATAAACTGTTGTCTTCTGCTGGCATGTTTCACTTTAGCGAGGAAACATGCCAAGAGCGACGATTCCCAATGCCATTTAAGGCTTCACCAAAGCTGTGGGTGGTTGGACTGTCTGCACTTGTTCAAAAATGTGGCATTATTCTTTAATACGCTGTTGCTCTGCTGTTATACATTAATTACTGTGCATGATTATAACGTTCAAGCCAAATCTCTCCCACGTTGCCTCGCCGAGTTAACGTCACCCACCCACCCTACTTTTCAAAAATGATTTGCATGCATTAAAAACCTTTTTGCCGGAAACCAAAGAAGATTAATAAATCAACTCAACCTCATTTGCTATCTTAGACCTTAAAGGGATGCACTACTAGTTCATCATTTTGGTCTGGCTATGCTGTAATTTTTCTATCAACCAAACCGCGGTAGTTTGTGATAAGTAAAAAAAACTAAAGGGCGTTCAGTCAGCTCTGTGGACAAGTCTTTAAAAAGGACGTTTAGTGGGCCTGCATTTCGCAAATTTGAAATAGTTTTTCCAAAAAAAAAAGCCAGAAGAAATCTAGTTTAATTACTGCAAACATGTAGAAGTTGCTGCATTGGGATGGTTTGAATCATTCATGCACTGGAACGACCCAGTCAAAGTCCAGGGATAAATCAGATTGAGCATCTGCGGCGAGACTTGAAAATCAGTGTTCACAGATGCTTTTCATCTAATTTGACAAAGCATGAGTTATTTTTGTAAAGGCAGATGGGTGAGGGATTTAAATACATTTGTGTATGTTTTAATTGAAACTTGTAATCCCCCTGAAAACTGTAAAACTGCATTGAAAAGTTGCTTTTCAGCAATTCTTTTTTTTTTTGAAAAAGAAAGAAAAACATGCCATTTCCAAAAATCCCAAGAAGTGATCATTGTGTTCTAGTCTAAGATAGCATGTCACCCCAATACTAAACACATCCATCTGTCTTTACTCTGTTTTTTGCTGTTATCCAACCGTGTTCAACTTAAAACCCGTGTCTATCTGATGCTGCCGTTTCATCAGCAGGATTGTATTGGGAACGTCCGTGTGTCAGACAGCTCAGCAGCGACTGGGGTTTGGGTCTGTAGTGTGTTTTGGGGGTAAAGGATTGGCTGAAGGGCTGTGAGGGGGAGTGGGTGTGTGGTTAGGAAGGTGGGGGTGGATGGGGGTTTTAGGAATCTGTTTACAATAGCTGGAGGGGGAGAGTTTAAGCTCCTGGCAAGAGGGAGAAACTCAGATATCCAAAAGGAGAGGGCAACTCGACGGAGAATGTTTGGTTTAAATGAGAACAAGAGTCAGGAGAGCCCAGGAGAGGATTAAATGTAAACCGAAGCAGACTGTTAAGCTGGCAGAAGGTGCGCCGGGGACTCACAGGAGGGAGGTTTCGCTGTGATGTGAAGCAACAGCTCCGCTGGATCTTTGCTCTCAGCCATGTGCCTAAAATATTTGGTGTGTGAGTTTGTGTTGTGTGCTCCCGATTAAGTTTATTTGCTTCTCACCGTGTGTTTTTTGTGCTGTGTGCGCGTACAGAATTTGAGGAGCAGTTGTACGACACCAAGCTGACCGGCCAGACGTTTCGCCATCCGTCCTCCCAGAGCTCAGACGACACGTCCACGTCGCTCAGCCGCTCACCAGTCTCTCTCAACAACAAGAGGCCGGACTTCATCTTCCTGGTAAACAAACACGCATGCAGCTTCTGACACAAAGCATTTTCCTGTCTCGTGTTGCTGAACCCCTTATCAATTTCTTCCACACAATTTTTTGCTGGTAAACAAACCCATGTGGTCAGTAATGATCACCTAAACTCCCTGTGACATTGCATAGTAGCATAGATTTGGCATGGTGTCTGATGGGATATTGGTCCAGGTTGAGAAGATGAATTCAGATAGTTGTTGCAGATTTGTCGGCCATGACCTGAATTGCCTTGTCCGACACGTCCCAAAGGTGCTGTTTTGGATGGAGGTCTGGTGACTATGGTAAATGGTAAAATGGTCTGTATTTGTAAAGTGCTTCAAGTCCAGCGTTTACTCCAAAGCGCGTCACACTGCATTCCGTCATTCACATACAGATTCACTCACTGACGGTGGCAAGCTATTGGATAGTAGCCACAGCTGCCCTGAGGAAGACTCACATAATTACCCAAGGACACAACAAAGAGCAACTCCCTGATAACGGGATGAGTGGTCGCCCTAAACAATGATGGTGGCGACCACTGGAGTACGGAGGTCACTGGAGTATCACAAACTCACTGTTGTGTTCAAGACACATGTTTGAGTTGATTTGAGCTGGGTGATATGCCCCATTGTCAACCTGGAAGTGGTCACCAGCAGATGGGTACTCTGTGGTCCTAAATGGTCCGACATGATCCACAACTACAGCCAACACGGCCGTAGTGTTTAAACGTCATTCGCTTGCTACTGAGATGTTCAAATATCCGTAAAGCCAACCAAGCTTAGCCAGCAGGAGTGGTATTTTGTTTGTAACCCATTTATTTCAAGGCTCCACATGTTGTATGTTCAGAGATGCTTTTCCACACACCTTTAGTGGCTGTGTGAGCTATACTCGATCTCCTACTTCAACAAGGCAACTGACTGCTGCTCCCTGGATATTTTCTCTCTTGTGGACTGTTCTGTGTAAACCCGAGAGACGGCAGTGTGTGAAAATGCCAGTCGATGAGATGGTTTAGCCTGTCTGGCACCAACAACAACGTTACGCCACTTTGTTCATTCCCCTTCCTTCTCCGTTCTGACGCTTGGTTTGAACTTCAGCAGGTTGTCAGGTTGTGTCTGCACTGTGAATTCTAGCTTAACACATTGATGTTTAGTGTTTTATTTCTCTAACTTTTCAAAACCTTGCCATCCTATGAAATTCCACAGTCTTACTGTGCTGGCTGGTAGGGCTGTACAATTTCAGGGACATAAAATTGTGCTACTTTTTTCCTGTCTTTAAGACAGTGCCTCTAACACATCAGGTGTAGGCATTCAGACCAGGTACAGATCAGTCCAACTGGACACAAATGTTACTTGCATGGAGAGCGTGAACACTTGAATACAACTTCATACAAAGACATTCTTTGAAATTGTGACAATGATGTTTTGATCTTGACATTCAATTGATCATTCCCTGTGTCATGGCTAATGACGGCTTATGCCAAAACAATGTCCTGCATAAATATGTTGTAGCTACCAATGCATCCTTACGTCAATTCATAAGATATTTCCGACTGTAAATTCAAATATTTGGGATAAAAATGCAAAGATAAAATTACTAAATGACCTTCCACTGAGTTTTTGTGAATTACAACTTAAACGACAGGAACAATTTAAACAAGCTGTTTTCTTGTTTGTTCAGAATGACCTTGGCTGGTGTTACTACTTCTTCACTTCAAGCGCTCCAGTTTCAGACTGTAATCGCTAAAACAATACAGCGTGATTATCATTCTTATTTTTTTCCCCATGAATCGAGCAAATGACAGCTAAAAGTTGTGTTGTGACTGAACGCCTCATTATGTTTATCATTCCGATAACACAGCAGGTTGAATGTGAATTAGCCGAAAATCTGTTGTACAGCCCAATCCGCCCCCTCATTCAGATTCACCAGAATTAGTCATCGTGCTTTTCTCTCTCTCAGCTGCTGTCTATAAACAGATCCTTATGATTTTGTGTCTTCCAGATAGAAATATTATTATAATCCTTGGGAAAGAAAAAAAGATAATTAAAAAAATCCAAACACCAGATAACATTAGTGCTATCTGACAGGCATCTCCTGTACACAAAGCTGTTACTAATGGATTTTTGTTTTTTAAAACAAGAGGGGAAATTAATATATTTATATATCTTCTGACTTCGGTATCTATAGCTGGATGTACTCTGCTCATGCTCTGGCTGCTAAGACTCTTTTCTTGGACGGCGTCACAAAGGATTCACTCCACTGCATCTGTTACAGCTCTGATTTTATTTGTGTTTCCCGTGAAGTTGTCATTGCTCTCAGCGCTTCTGTAGCAGCAGATGAGGTTTTTACGTTTGTCTTTAAAGGTGAACTGCAATGTTTCCTGCACTGCAGGACCAGTAAGCTTTACATCTTGCCATGGCAAAATCACAAAATTTGTTAAAGTGTGTTAGATTTTCATTTGATTTTCACACCGAGTAGGAAAAGTGGAGAAAAAGATACCTGGCATGAAACCTTTTCGGCAGTCTGTTCAACATTTTTGTGGTGCGAATCAGTTTTCAGACTTTTTGCATAGATTTTCAATTAAATCTGATCTGAACTTTGACCTGCCCCCAAACGCTTCATCCAAGTCATTTTATTGTAGCTCTGTGTTTGATTTGATTTAATTTATTTAAATCAAATAAATTAAATCTGTTTAAGTTGCCGGTCATGTCCTGGTGGGTTTGTAGCTGGTACTCTTGCAGCAGCTGTAATTGTTTTTTAGCAAAAATTATGAATGGATCTCCAGGACTTTATTGCACAATTTTTTTCAGGGGTATGAGAGTAAAGGTGGTTGAAGAGAAATTGAAGTCAAACTTGAATTCTATCTGTAAAATGTTTGAAGAAACTTGAAAATATGTTCTAAAAAAGTTCTACAGCTATTAATTTCTTTAAAGTAATCGTGTTTCCATGTGTTTCTTCACCTATTAAGAAAATATTCCTATTTGAGAAAAACACAACCTGCCTTTTTGTGTCTTCTTCTAGCCGGCGTCAAAGCAGCTCTACGAAGATGAAACCACCTCCTCCGTGTTCGGCCTGAGGTCTGTGATCAACCCTTCGCCTTCCCCGACCCCGTCCCCCTGCGGCTCGGATCGCCCCCCTCTGGGCTGGAGCAGCAACAACAGCAGCAGCAGCACAGCTACGTCCGCCACCACAGGGCCGCCCGTCGCCGAAAAACCGCGCTGGCACCCGTTACGACGCACGCCGGCTCACTGCATGCCACTCGACGTTACAGGTATGGCAAACAGATCGAAAACGCAGCAATGCTGAAGCGTTTTGAGGAGCTCTGGTCATTTCTGATAACTGACAGACTGGCTGAACTTGCTTGTTTTAGTTTCTTTCTATGTATGCACTCCGTTTGTTGTTACCCAGTGATCATTTTATGTCAACACCACCTTTTGACATAAGTTTACTATAGAAAATTGAGATGCATTTTCACAAATCTCAAGTTTGAGATGTGCCACCAATTATGAATGGAGGTTGTGTTGACATTTTTTTTGAAAACTTGTTAAAAACCTGTTATGAACTGCTGTCATTCCCATCTGTGTTATGTTCGAGTTTGATTTTAACAACGACTCTGTCTTCAAAAGGTGAAATTATGTCCTCAGGTCAATAAGCGCACAAGCATTTTTTTTTGTTTTGTTTTGTTTTGCATTTTCTGAACAAAACACTGACTGGAGACAGTACACAAACACCAATGTTATTATATTAGGTCATTGGAGCACAAAAGTAGGCTAACGTAGGCCCTTTACCTTCAAACTTGACCCTCTTACTGTACTTCTTGGAGCTGACAGTCCTAATGAGCCTCCTAGGAAGGAGCCTTCCTCTTGCTGTGGATGTCCCCATAAATTGTATATGACCTACTTTTGTTTTTTCTCCTCACTGTTGCTTCCTTATTTTTCTATATCTCTCATTGTTGTGGATGGACAGTGTAAAATCCAAATGATATCGACAAATAGTGTTAAAATAAATTCAGATGAACCTTTTTAAAATCAGGATGCATTACAGTCAGCATCCTACCTGTTTACTCTCAGTTAAAGGATATAACAGAGTTATACGGGTGTAAAGCGCAGCCGCGTCCAATGACACGCTAAAATCACAGCGCCAACCGGTGGCCTGGCATGACAACTACAACCGTTTAAACATGAAACTTCTTTCAATCGGTTTCTGAAAATCCTGCAGTTTCCAGGCAGCGGTCTCGTGAAAGCGTAGCCTAAAGCAGGGCTCAGTTATGAAACAACGCCTCAAACTTTGAAGATCTGACAGAGAACCGCTCAATCCATTATATGAAATATTAAAGACTATAACAAAAACCTAACAAGATATGGTTGTCCTCCGAAATCGACAGGCTGTCATGGGAAGCTGGTGAGTGTTGGTGGAAGAATGGATGGAGCCAAATACATGGAAATCCTTAGAGCGTAAGACATGTCAAAGTCCAAACCTAAATATAACTGAGAATATGAAGGAGGGCTAAAAGGGATGCACACAGTAGAAACAGTAAAGATAAGATTTGAAACTGTAAGTGTGTTGAAAGACGGTTTTACAAAGCATTAACTCAGGAAAACTGAGTGGGAAAAAAAAAGTTCTTCCACTTTGCCATTATCCCCTACATTGTGCATTCCGGCGACATACAATAAAGTTTGCAGCAACCCAACAATAAATGGACTTATTGCTCTTATCAGCTAACAGGTTGCTGTGGAAGGTGTAGACAGCCGCTAGTCTCTCTCAAATCAGGATGACTTCATTTTCTCACAAGCCTATCGCGAGTCTGCTCTGCTGAAACACGAATCGACGTCAAGAACATTTTCTCCTCATGACTGCATAACGCCCTCGTCGCTCTCTGCCAGACCCTCTGCTTTGCATGTCTGTGTGTGTGTGTGTGTGTGTGTGTGTGTGTGTGTGTGTGTGTGCTGTCAGCATGCCACAGTCAGCCTCAGCAGCATCTCTCTGACGCCGCTTCCACTCATCTCAACCGAGGCTCCCTCTTGTTTGCGTCTCCCATACATGTGTGTGTTTCTGAGTGTGTGTGCGCCGACCTCCTGGTTTTTGGCATAGCAACTGCTTCGTCACCAGGTGCCTCTCCCCTCCTTTTCTCCAGCGTATCCATCCATAGTCAAACATCTCTTTCTCCTCCTCTCCGCTCAGTGGGGGTGGTAGGGGCGGGAGCTTCAGAGAAGACGAAGGTCAGGCGTATTAATCCACGCCGGCGGTCTTGAATTGCGCGGGTATTCGGAGATAAAAGGCGAGCGGAGAAAAGGGGGTACTTAAAGCTTCCTGGTCAAAATCGATTTGTCGTTTTCTTCTAGGTCTGACCGGTTGGTTTATTCTAAGGATGATGCAGAAGAAGAAAATAAATGTTCTGAAGGACCTTCAATACAGGAAGTAGTTTTTAATTCATCAGAAAGCGAGGTAGTTAAGAGATTATGCCTATAAATGCATCAGAACATACAGTCTAACCATCAGAATGAAGGAAGTGAGTCAAATACATGCTTAGAGAAGAAAATGGTGGGATATTCTAGTGATTCAATTAAAAAATACTTTATCGGTCCCAAATGGGAATTAAACGTTGCCGTGGCTCGTGTAAATCTAGATTACTCAAAGAGTTACTGCAGATGGTGTTGGCGGTGGGAAGAGAAGCCTCCGACTGAAAACGCTTTTAATGGAAAAAACAAAAAAGTTAAATTGCGAATCGGAGCCAATCGAGAGAAAACAACAACAACAACAACAATAAAAAGAAACCGAGCCGGTTCTGATCTCTGGTTGGTTATTTGGTGCATCTTTATTAAAATAAAGAATTAGTTTTGTAATTCGAAAGTATTTTTTACGTTATTGTAGATTTAGTTTTCACCCTTTGCACATTAACAGACAGAATAAAAAAGAAATATAAAAAAACTTGGAAGCAAATATGAAATAAAGCAGTAACTCATTTTTTAAAAATAAATGTCGTAAAAACCAACACAGGATTATTTCTCATTAAGAGCCCATTGACTTGATATGAGAAAGTCGTCTGCTGTACATTTTCATTTCAAAAACTTAAAAAGTGTGTGTAACCAAAGTATTTTGGTACTATTTTTAGAAGCGGATGAACACTGATTATGAGCTCCAATTGGCTCATTAGAACAGTGATTTTGAGCATAAGTTCATGTTTTATTTTACAAAAGTAAATGTTTCTGACATCACATTTGGTCCTTTAAAAAGAAATCACGTGTCTCATTCAAATTGTCGCTATTAAACCTGCTAATCGTCCTCTCCGTCTTCTCCGGCTTTCTTTACACTGAAAGCCAGTGAACAGGTAGCTCACAGACGACTTACTGTTACCATGGCATCGCCACACTCTTCCTCTCTCTTCCATCCAAGATGGAGGGGAAAACCCCCCGCCAAAAACAGAAGAGGAAGAAGAAACGTGTAAGATAGAAAAAAGGAATTGTGGATGAGTAAAATGGGTGACAGTGGTTGAAATAATGTGTTTGGAGGGATAGACTGGGGAAAAAAGGATCAATGAAGGTTCGTCACTGCTTCCTCCTCTTCCTCCTCTTCCTCCTCTTCCTCCTCCACTCGTCGCTCGGCCTCAGTGTTGCCGCTGTTGCCCATCTCACTCCAGCAATTTTCATGAATGACTGTTAGCCAGTGAGGAAAAAGGAGAGTGGAGCAGACTGAGAGAAAAAAGCAACCTTTTTTATTTGCTGTTTTTTCTTTGATGCTGTTGGTTCACATTTAGAGTTGAGAGAGTAACCTAGTGCTGATTCTTTGCCCTAAGTTGTCAAGATATAGGATTTTTCTTTCACATCGAAGCTGCATGTTTCTACAATTTTTCATATTCAAGTATGATTCTCATTAGTACAGCGCTTCGCGGTTCAGTATTCACAAATTCAGCCAATAGCGGATATGTTTGAGTGGAACAACTTAAAATTATTCCACATTTTTGACGTGAAACATGTCTAAAATAATCTAAAGAAAATGCAGCGTAGGAAGCTAACTAGCACCAGAGCTAGTTAGCGTGCCATTGTCTGGCATTAGGGAGAGAACTAAAATGTGCAGGATGCCGGCCCTTGAGGACTGACTTTGGGCACCCCTGACTTAGACACTCTGATTATCTAAAAAAGAAATGAAGTAAAACTTATGATCATTCTTCAGTTTCATTTCTATGAGATTGTTTTCTGTACTCATCAGTCTCACAGATGATGCAGAGCTGTCTGATTGTTTTTAGGGCAAAAACAGATATGGCTAAGTGCAACTGAGCGAGCATGAAAGTCAGTCACAGAAGTTGAATTGCTATGTTAGAAACTAAACTATAATTGGGGTGCTAACCCTGACTGGTGTCAGTGTTGTATAATAATCCTCTCAGCTTATTTTTCTGTTAATTTGCTGTTTTACCTCATTTTATTTTGCAATAATTTTTTTTTTTGTTCTTTTCTTGCACACTGACCTTCACACCTCCAAAATGATATCGCTTCACGTGATTTTTGGTCTCAGATGTTATTTTTACAAGGACCCTGGAAGAAGAAAGTGAGTAAGTGAGCCGTTTGTTCACGAGGTAATAAAGGGAGGTAACTGCTGCCTCCAATGACTCAGCGCTGACAGGACATCAAGCGACAGAGCAGCAGGTGTCTGTCAGCATCTGCTGCAAATCTGCCTGGGTTTAAAGCATGACGGCAGACGTTGTAAAACATAAACACAACAGAGGCTGTCCAGTTGAAATCTTCATTCTACGCCACTTTCTTGCTTCATACAAGAAGATATTGTTGATCGAACTAGTGCCACATGGCCAACTCTGTTCAAAACTCATACACAAATGGCAACAAGATGGAAATAAAGATTTGTATCAGTCCAGGTTTACTTAACCGAACGATACCGACATGTTAAAACAGGACTAACATCGGCCCATGCAGATGTTGAACCTGATAGTCATTCCTAGTATTTAGTACAAGTCGCTGCAATATTTGGGCAGAAGAAATTAAAACAGAACTGACCTAAGTGGCCTGAAATGTGGAAGAAATGGTTACATTTAATGCACCAGAAGGTCCATTTCGCATGCTGACTGTCTGCTCTCGTCTGTCTCCTCCAGGTGAAGTGGGAGCAGTGAAATTCCACGGTGTCGACCTCCTCCAGCACTCCCCGTCCCCGTCCCCGTCTCCTGGGGACTCCTATCCCCAGCAGCCCCACTCTCTGGAGCTCTTCACGGACACACCACATCAAAACCTCCCAATACGGAAGACACACTCAGAGCTGGACACAACCCTGCCCACAGGTTGGTTCAATTGTCAGAAAAACCTAAAGTCTGGATTCAGTGGCGGGTTTTTTTTGTAATATCTCAATCAACACTTTTTTCCCCTGCAACACTCATTTTCGTCATAAGAGCTGCTGTATCTTACCTTGCCGCACACATAATATAATTTAGGGAAGCTCACTATATCTGCTTTAACAATGTTATTGGTCGATGTCAATCATTTTCTGCCATTTGTAATGGTTCCACATGTAAAACTGGGCCGATATTAATAATTCATGTTTATGAATTGTTGCCATTTTTGTTTGTGTCAGGACGGGGATATAATTAAATGCATTTGATTTTATGTATGAGTTAAAGTTAAATAAGACTTCTAAAAAGAGTTTGAGAAGAATCAAACACAGGTAACATTTATCTAATTGTAGGCACGTTCAATTGTTTCTTGCCCCTTTGCCCTGTACAGATAACCGTTTGGGGCGACGCCCCCCAGAGCTGCTTCACACAGCAGCTATGGACCACTCTGGGTTGCTGTGCTCCAACACACCCTCATCCACCTGGAATGGCCCTAAAGGATCCACATTTTCTCCAGCTGCGTGGAATGAGACTTACAATTACAACATGAGCAAAGGTCCAGCAGTTCCTCCCAAACATCACAGTGTCATTGGTCATGCTGGCGGGATACAGGACGGGGTCATGCTGGTGAGCTCGGGACAGTCTGTGAGCTCACACTCCAGCTCATTCACATGTGTGACGGACCCGACTGGGAGAACAGGAAATGGTGGGTCAGGGATTTCTCCGCCAGTGGTCACAGTGGGAAAACGTAGGGAAACAGAGGGGGCACCAGCAGACGGAGGGCGAGGGGGTGGTGCAGAGGCAGGGCGAGGAAGGCAGAGGTCAGCACGATCCATAGCAGCTCAAAACGCCTTCAAGTTCCGGGAACGTTCTCTTTCCACGCCCACTGATTCTGGGTCCTTTTGCTTTACAGAGGGTGGTATAGAGCCAGACTTGACCATCACCACTACTGGTAATGGGAACACTATGGTAATGGACCACCATCAAGAGCATCATAACTATCTGGGTCATGGGGAGAACTATGCCCTTCTTTACCCTAGAGGCAGTTCTGAGGATAGTGCAAGTACTACGGACACTATTTCGGTCACGGCTTCAGATTACAGCACAGAAGGACGCTTGCGCCTTCGCTCTCGTTCAATCTCACTTAAGAAGTCCAAGCGCAAGCCCCCGCCCCCTGTGAGAAGTGTTTCCTTAATGAAAAACCTTGGAGAAGCTGAGGGCAAAATAAGGCATGGGGGTGGTCTTTACAGAGATGGCAGACCAAAGAGCCTGCACATACCCAGGGACAATTTCATGGAATTCCAGCCAGATTTCCTTTTGACAAGCTCTTCTTGCTCCTCTAAAGCCAGCGTAGGTGAAAGGGAGCGGGGCCAAGGGGCTAACGATGGACCTCCAAGTCTGGAAGTCCAGGCACCTGAGAGAGAAGGAGACACACAGATGACCTTCCCAACTCACTGGCAGCTGGGAGAGTGGAAGAGTAATGACCCCTACAGGTAAAAGAATAAATGTATTAAATGTACTTCACTTTGCAGTTAAATTATTGCCTTCTAATCATTCTTCCTTCTTCCTCAGGTCTTTATCAGGCTCCAGCACAGCAACAGGTACCACAGTGATTGAATGTATGAAAGTGAGAAGTAGCTCAGAGTCCCTTCTAGATTCTCCTTCCACGTCCAGAGCCACGTCCCCTTCACAGTTATCCATGGAGACTGACGTTAAGGCTTCCTCACCCTTAAAGCCTCCAGGACTTATATCTCCCTCAAGCGGCTATTCCAGTCAGTCAGAGACTCCTACTCCAACAGTTCCGATGAATCATGGGACAGTAGGTACGACAGGGTGTAAAATGCGTCCAAAGATCCCAGAAAGGAAATCTTCACTACCATCACCTAAGGACCCAGCTGCCAGGTCAAGATTGTCATTTGAAATGCCTGGAAATGCACATTTGGAGCTGTCATCGCTAAAGCCAAAGCAGAAGGCAAGCAGGCGGCATTCTGACACTTCTACTGCTGCCAAACCAGGAAAAATCAGCCCCTGTTCTTCACAGGCATTACCTGTGGTTACCCAAAACGAGCTAAAGACCATTAGACTTCGGTCTGTTTCGCGAGGAGATCTGGAGGACTGCCCTGATGGAGCTTCTGACACAATTGAAGAAGAGCAGCATGGCAGAGACATCAGCGACAACCCAAGTCCACCACCAACTCTACCAAAACCTAAGCCACCTGTAGCTGTCAAACCTCCGTTGCCCAAACGGCCCATGAACCTCCTCCTTAAGTCTCCTTCTCCTTCCTCCACCTCCCCCCTTGCTATTGAATCTCCTCCTGCCTCACCTGTGGAACGACCAGTGCCTCTTGGCAACATCTACAAAGTCATGAAAAAGCCCAAACCCAAAAAGCCCCCACCACAGACTCCAACAAGTCCTGCCATTCCCCCAGATTTGAATTCCACCAATGTGCCACCCACTGCTTATGACCACTCATTCCTCCCTCACTCCCAGTCTCTGTTTGACCTCCCACCACTCCCTGATCCCCAACCTTTGTTGGAAGACCCACTGTTGGAACCTGAATTTGACGGAGAACCAGATATCCGTCTTGTACCTGAGGATGGCGGTTCACTTCCTTCTCCATGCAGTTCCCAGGAGGGCCCTGAGCTTCAAGACAAGAGCAAAACACTACCTTCAAGGATGACCATTTCCTGTCTGGCTGAGCTGTCTGACAAAAAGAAAACCAAGGTGAGTAGGATACTACTTGTTTGCTCTAATTCACAGATGGCTAAATCGCCTGCTGTCATGCAAAGTAAAACAAACATAATTTACACTCCATTATCCAGGTTCCGCCTCCAGTTCCCAAGAAACCAAATGTCCTCCTCCTTCCCACACCACTACACCCTTCCACTAATGGGAGCACAGACCGGCAGATTCCACAGTCTGACAGCCCGGTGGGTCTGCCGTCTCCACTTGGAGCATTTGCACCAGATGACATGCCAGCAAGTTGTAGTGGTCTTGACATGTCAGAGCAGGACAAAAACCACTTGGGAACAGATGAAGACAGCTCAAAAGAGTCATCTCTACAGTCGTCACTCCAGGATTCCTCTCTCACGGAAATTGGAGAAAGGATGGCCAGCACTGGTATCGGGGCAGGTCTGTATTTATGAGCAATGTTTTCTGGCATTTAAGCCTCATGCAGGAACAGCTTCCACTTGTTAATTTTAACTTGTTATCTAATGTTTTTGTGTAACTGAGCCCTGTTATAATGTTATTCCTATGCACTGATCAGATGATTCAGCTGCCGATGAGAAGACTGCTCTCCACATCGCTGAGGAAACGGAAGATGACTTGTTGACCAGCACTCCTACGACACACACCACCGAGGACTTATTCACTATTATACACAGGTTTGGCACACACACACACACACACACAC